CTTTTGTGCATAATACATACACATGTTTTTGAAACTTTAAAAATGGTATAACATTAATTTTAAAAAAGCTTTTTTCTGAAAATTAGCAGTGTTAACCGATTAACCATATGGGTTAACCGGTTAACCATTTTGAATTTTGAATTTTCTGGGCTAACGTACCAGTGTTAACCGATTAACCATATGGGTTAACCGATTAACACTGAACGTGCAGTGAAAAATTGCTTTGTTTTGAGTTCAAAATTATTTTTTAAAATCATACCTTTTCATGGTTTGAATCTTTTAAAATCATACCTTTTGTGAAAGGTTATTTTACTCATATAAATTCTGAGTTTTTCATTTTGAAAAACACACCAACAGAAAACCAATACTCATTTTTAAAATTGTCTTAGAATCAAATTTTTTCAAAAAGTGTTCATACCTGCATTGAAAGTTTCACATTCATTGAACACTTGTATTGAAAAAATTACAAAGAGTGAATTTTGATTCATTGAAGAAGATCACTTTGACAATTATACTCAATCCAAATTCATTACAATTATTTTGTATTTGACTTGTGATCCAGGATTGTTGGACACAAGGGTGAGTGTTTACAAGAGGATTGTTCTTGTACACTTGTGAGATTTTATTGTTTGATAGTAGGCCTCACCGGTTGATGGTGTGATAGGTTGTACTGTTTTAAAACAATAGTGAAAATTCTCTTTCATGTTGAAAGGGGAGTGGAGTACTCTCGGATTGTGAGGGGAACCACTATAAATCCTGGTGTCCATTGTTCTTTTATTTTTCTTCTTCTGCTTTCATAACCAAAAACATAATCCAGTATATTTCCAAGAACCATATAAAAACCGGAAAAATTTCAAAAGTCCTAATTCACCCCCCCCCCCCTCTTAGGCATACTCTGTTCTTACATTCTGGGTTTCAACTACCCACTCTCTTAAAGGTTGTGATATTCTATTGAGACTGGGATCATTTGATTAATAGCCTTCATGGGCTATAAATAGAGGGACGTTATGCTAAAAAAAAAGATAATTTATAACACAGAGAAAACACCCATACAGAGCTTCATACCATCTCTGTGTGAGCTAGCTCTAACCCTTAACAAACCCTAAGCCTCTGGCATCCCTTACCCGTTTGGGGTTTTTACTCTCATTTTACTTTTGTCCAATACAAAAGGTTTATAAACAGCTTTGGCATAATCATAATAATAAAAGATAATCGAGTTATTATGCAAAAAGTTAAAAGATAACAAGTGGCCCACAAAGACGTGAAATATGTCAAACAAATTCACGAGTTTTAAAATACGAGTTAATCAAACTCATCTTGAAAGTAGTAGAAGTCAAGCACAAGAAATTGCATTATCATTGTGCTTTACAAGGTATCTTGCTGAACCCTTATTAGGGATCCTTTCCGCCTTATCAGAAAATACATCTTGACCCTTACCATGGATTCTTGTTTCCTTATTAGGAAATGTTTATTGAACCTTCACTAAAGGATCCTCACCACCTTATTAGAAAATATTTGTTGGACCTTCACTGAAGGATCACTTTCGTTTCATTAGACAATATTTGTTGGGTGTTCACTGAAGGATCATTTCCACCTTATCAGGAAATATATGTTGGACCTTCACTAAAGGAACCTAGCCATTATCAGAAAATATTTGTTGGTCCTTCATTGAAGGATCCTTCTAGCCTTATCAGTAAATATTTGTTGGACCTTCATTAAAGGATCCTTTCTGCTTAATCAGTCAAACTTTGTTGGACCTTCAGTGAAGGATCATTTATGCCTTATGAGGAAATATTTGATGAACCTTCACTAAAGGAACCTTGTCGCCTTATCAGGAAAATTTTGTTAGACCTTCATTGAAGGATCATTTCTACCTTATCATGAAAATTTTCACATGTTCCAATGAAAAGTCCCAATGCAAAACACACCCAAAATAATAAATTGATGTTGCGAATAATAAAACTCAATAATTTTGCAAAATAAAGGGCCGGAAGGAATGCATTTTCATTAAAGAAAAACCCTGAAAGTTGTGGTTACAAAAGGGCTTACAAAGGGCGAAAATACGAATAACAAACAAAAGTACACACACACCTAAAGCATTAAATATAGTGATGCTTAAGATAATTTCCCCAAGAAACACTTGAGGGACTCACCGAAGCAACTCTTGTGGGACTCACCCAAGCTCTGCTCAAGGGACTTGCCCTATAAGCTACACTTGAGTAACTCACCCTTTAATCTTCATCATAGGGATACACTTATCTAGAACGAGATCAATGTCTCATAGATTTAAATCATTTTTCCCTTCACATGCTTCATTTCTTGATGAGGAGTCGAGGTAACCATAAGAGGCTATATCATTCGAGTCAGAATGGGCAGGTGCAATCAGGTGGGCCACACACTCGCTGTCATTTTCTCCTTCGAGACCTGCCGGAGAACCTTATCACCAAGGCTCAATCTAATGGAACTATGGGATTTCTCGATCATCTTTGTCTTCTCCTTCTCTATTAGGACAACGTTCATTCTTTTTGACCCCTTCAATGTTTCTAATAAACCCTGCTGGACAAGAAGAGCTTGCATCTTCAAGCGCCATAATCTGAAATCATTCACTTCGATGAATGTCTCAATCTCGTACTTTTTTGACGACATTTTGGTCCACGTTCACCACACTAGTTTGTTGAGATAAAATATGCCAAACATGAATTAAACCATGAGAAAGAGAGAGTTTTTGATCAAACAAGAAACGATTCAATTCACGAAAGAGAGAGAGAGAGAGAGAGAGAGAGAGAGAGAGAGAGAGAGAGAGAGAGAGAGAGAGAGAGAGAGAGAGAGAGAGAGAGAGAGAGAGAGAGAGAGAGAGAGAGAGAGAGAGAACAAGGAAGAAGAAAGAGCAACAAAGTTTGATAAAATGATTTTTCTCTTCACTTTCTTAATTAGGGTTAAAATATTACAAGTGAATCACAACCAACCTCTCTCTCTCTCTCTCTCTCTCTCTCTCTCTCTCTCTCTCTCTCTCTCTCTCCATGTGTATCTCTTAACAAGTGAGAGAACAACCTATATATAGACTACTAAAATATGTATGTTATGCATGATGATAACAGTCATACATGACATATATAGATATTACATATCATAATACATGACTAACTTAGACCACAACATGCTTGAAAAGACTTTGAATACATCATGCACATTTGAACCCAATCGAATCCCCTTTGTCAAGGCTGAAGTTCGATCTAATACTACACTTCCATTATTGGTTCTAATGTTTGTTTAAATTTGACAGTTTTCTCATCCTCTTCCGTAACTTTATTTTTGAAAAAATCGACTTAACTTTAGATCTCACATTGTTAGTTATGTGATTCTACCACAGTAAAGCATGTGATGTAGGAAATTTTTTTACAACAAAATTCATTAGTGAAGTATTGACCAAGGACAATATTCTTTGGTGGCATATTTTCTATATCTTTCAACAAATTGTGATACATTTCTAAAGCACAATCACCATTATCCTTCTTTTCACATTATATGATGGTAAAATCAATTAAATATGCCATCTATGTATAAGTATCACTAACAATTTCAAGTAATGATAATATGTAATTGTTGGTCTGATATGTTGAATCAATTATCAATACATTGAAAAATATGTTAACACTACTATAAAATATACCTTATGTAACATGTTATTACCTCGGATATACAATCAACGGAAGTAATAGGTGAAATTTAGGCACCTGCATTTTTTTAATTAACGAAATTTTCACTATGGTCCTTAATAACAACCATAGTGAAAAGCAGGAAGGCATCACTTTTAACCATAGTTGAAATTTCAAACATGGTGAAAAGTGACGTTTGGTCATGGGTTCAAATGTCAAACCAGCACGTTTGGTCATGACTTCATCTTTTGCCTCCAAACTTCTTCCATTTACGAAACATAATTCCTCCACTAAAGCAAACTTGAAGATATCATTTCTTCCATAAACGAAACTAAAAATATTTCTTCCATTAACGAGTTTTGGAACTCCATCATCTCTTCTCCAGATTGAACGAGACATGAAAAACATGAATTCAAGTTTAAAATGTTAGTTGTTTTTGTCATGTCAGGTAAAATGTTATTGTTTAACAATTTTATTTATTTATTTTATTATTGTTGTTGTTGTTGTTGTTGTTGTTGTTCTTGTTTTTGTTCTTATTGTTATTGTTGTTGTTGTTGTTGTTGTTGTTGTTGTTGTTGTTGTTGTTGTTGTTGTTCTTATTCTTGTTGTTTTTATTGTTGTTGTTGTTGTTCTTATTCTTATTCTTGTTGTTCTTGCTGTTATTCTTATTGTTGTTCTTATTGTTCTTGTTATTGTTTTTTTATTGTTGTTATTGTTTTTTTTTTTTTTTTTATTGTTGTGTTAAAAATATTCAATATTATATATTGTGATGAAAGTTATCAATGTATTCTGACATAATATGTGACAAAAATAAAAATAAAAATGTTGACTGACCTTTCACTACAAATATTTAAAACAACTGTGGTTATAGGTAGTGCGTTTTTTATTTTTCTACCACATATAGTGAATTGTGGTTGTAAATAACTCCCATACAATCATACTCTATTTAACAACGATTCTTTAATCGTATTATTATAAATATTTCACAACTGTAATAATAAGTGTTTTTCGTAATAGTGTAAACATTTTGACGAATTCTAAATACATATAAAAATATATATATATTTTCCATCACTATAAACATTCTATCCAACAGTTTCAACCGTTACTTTATTTCAAACTTCAAAGCTCTTATTATCTTGTTGTTTTTGGAACAAATATACATACTTAATATTTATTACACTAGGTCTATTTCTTCTCAAATTGTGAGTATGTTTTTTTTGACAAAACCATATTCATTCATTGTCGTCTCCTAAATAATTTTCTTCTATTCATTATTCTAACATAATGACAATACATGATGACTTGGTAACTAGAAATTCATAGTAATTGCGATGATTCTACCTAAAAACTCCACACATCATTTCCAATTTCAAAATCCCAGAAGTCATGAGGCTGTATTGATGATCCACTCACAAATCTTTTCAATCTTTCACTCACTTTTGTCGCTCCAAATTGAACATAATTCTGAGGAATCTGCATTAAAAAAAAAGAACAATTACAAAACCGAATTAAAGAAAATGCTAACAAACTAAACATATATAAATATAGATAATATATAGATATATACCTCAGCATGCACGACATGTAGGAATGAATTATCTCCAACAGTCGAGGAATTGACACTCTTGACATCGACATTCTCTTCATGCAACACACGAATTATTTCATAGAAAATGAACTGATTATCTAAACCACACGTAAGAACCACTTGCAGCGAAGAACCAAATTCATGAATTTCGAAACATGGCGATTTCGGGACACCAAAACAACATTCACGCGATCTTTTCTTCTTCTCCATCAACAATCTCTCTTTCTTCTCCTCAGCCATCTTCACATTTGCCTCTAAACTCTTAATGTAGTTTATGGCTTCTTCCACTTGGTCCGGTAACGCCAACGGCAACTCCTACATTATATATAATAATCAAATCAAACAAGAACAATAACTAACTAACTTTTACGTTTATAATAAATAGAGAGAGAGATTAGAACCTTGGGGTTATAGTTAGGGAGAAGAGAGTTGAGTTTGGTGTAGAGAATCTTCATCTGATTTCTTCTGTTTTTCTCCACAAGTCTTCTTTCAACTTTGTTTGTAGAGGTAGAAGGTTGATCATTTCTCACATGATCCATACTATAAAAATATTAGTATTAATCTTTGTTTTTTTCCGTTTTAAGGTGAGCTAGGCTAGGAGATAGTTAGTTAGTTTGCGAGAAATTGATTAAATAGGAGCTATAGGATGAAATTGTGAATTGTTGTGGAAGTGGAGTGTGTGAATAGAGAGATTAAAGCTATATATATACTAACTTTAAAGGAAAGTATAAAGTAATGGGAATATAGAAACGTCATTTTGGAGACGTCATGTCGTGAAAGAAGCATATGGAAGATCTAGTTATGTCATCGTACTAGTTGTTGCCGTCGAAGTGGAATTTTCAAAGACACGCGTGTCTTTATTCACTTTACGTGTCGTGTTGTTATGTAACTGTTTGGTTTGAATTTCAAGACCTTGGAAAGAAATTATTGTGGGAGTAAATGTAGAGAGTGTTGGTAATTTGAATGATGCATTACATCGCTCATGTTGAATTTATAGAATAAATGGACGTGAGTGAAGCGTTCTTTCTTTTTTTGTGCATATCGTGTGTTTAATTCTGACTAATTCTTAGATACTCCATATGGTTAGTATTGGTTACTAACAAATATTCAATATATTCTTTATTTTTGGTATAGTTTGTTTATTGGAGAAATTTCATATATTATTTTAAGAATATTTTATATTTTTTTGGCGGATTTTGTTAAGAAATTGTGGTTGGGTTTAACTCAACTCTACAAAATTGGTTGGTAAGATGAGGATTGCCCTCACTTATAAAGACATGTTTATGTCATATATTATCCGATGTGGGACCGATTTTGTAGGGTTGAATTAAACCCAATCATATTAAAATGGTATCAAAAGTTTCATTTAATATCTAATTGACCACCTTGTATGGTTTCCGCTATCGGGTCACCCACCATTTATTTCTATGCTCCAGTTGTCTAGTCCTGGGCATGAGGGCATGTGTTAAGAATCTCAAATCGGATAATATATTGTATGAACATGTCTTTATAAATGGATGCAATACTCATCTTATCAACCGATTTTGTAGGGTTGACTTAAACCCAACCACAAATTCTTAACAGACTTGTAATTATAAATATAGAGTAGTTTACTATCATCTAAAGACATTGCTACAATATTTTTTTTTTAAATAAATTTTAAATTTTCTCTTTTCCTCTACGGTCCAAAGGAAATTGATTTTATCTACTACCATTACTACAAATAATATATTTTCTGACAATACATCATCCAACAAAAATGTTATTACGAGTGATTGATATATATTTTATAGACAACATGTTATGCAAGATGCCATGACATCATGTTGAGACATTTGGTTTATATGCGCTCAAAACAGGAAGCAATGATGTGGAGTAAGATGTCTCACACATCATGGAACAGTCTGCCACATTAATACGTTTGTGTTGTATCATAATCATGTGTCTGATTTATTTCCATGTGTGTGTCGGGGGTGCGTGTGTGTACGTGTGTGTGTGTGTGGTTTAGGGTTTTCAGAATATGTAATTGTTTAATGGAGCAACAGTTTAATAACTAAACAGTTGAGGGAATGGACCTCTCATTATACTTAACTGAATGGTTAAACCCATCACAAATTATTTAAACATAAACTTAATCAAACAATTCATCAATAAAACTGATGTTTAATAATAATTGACCATAATATAATTAATTAATAATTGATTATGTTGTAAATTATTAACATTAATAATTTTGAGTGTGTTTCAAAATGACAAGAAAATATGCAAGTGAAAGTTAATTTTTTTAATTCAGAAATACACAACACTTGTAAAGTGTTGCAGTATGATTCAGAAATAGAAAAAAATTGTGAAGTGTTGCAGTAGATTTGAATTCGGAAATAGGCAACACTTCGTGAACTGTTGTAGAATGAAAATATGCAATTCTTGAAGAATGTTGTTATGGGAGAAATATTGTAATTTTTGGTAAAAAGTACGTAATTTTTTATAAAAGGGGGCTGTTTCACCAATGGCTGCAAAACCTTGTGAAATAACACCAATATGACATATCAATACTTCATTCCGGATTTAGAAAAACATAACAAAAATGTACATTCTCTTAACTAAAATTCTAGTTACTCTTTCCTACATTTGGGTTTTCATCAGTCTTGTAAAAACTCAATTATAGACTGAATTATCTTGGGTATTCATGCGTTCCAACTCTAAGACATTTTAGAGTGTGTGAAATACTTATAAGAAAAGTGATTTCGTTCACGATTCTAGCATCGATCCATTCCATTTAAATTAATGTTTCCAACAATCTTACAAGTATAGTAAATAATCGCAAACGAGGTTTCTGTTTCAAGTATTAAAGTGACAAATCAAGAACACTTGAAAAAAGAGTACATAAAGAAATCATCATTATCAATCCGAATACGATTTATTGTTTCTTTATTAAAAATAAATATAAAATTGTATTTGATCTCACCAGATCAGAAAGAATCAATGGTCTGACACGCATCGTGATCTCCTGCCTTCACCGGAGTTGTGGAGGAGAACAGGGGGTTTGCCTGCAAAATACTCTAATGCCTAAGTAAGTATCGAAACTAGAGAGAGCAAGTACAGAGAAAAGGTGTGGAGAATAAAATATCTGACCCTCTAGTGAAAGAGGGTATTTATAATATGACCCTAGCGCATGGCCAACGATTACATTGCATTGGGCCGGATTGTCAAGCCCAACACAAGTAACTGTCAGGGCTTATGTGGCGTAGTGAAGACTAGCATGTGGTCTTCTCCCTGGATCAACTGCCTCGTGATCTTCGGAAGGTGGGATGACCATCTCTTTCGGAAGTGGGTAGTTGCTTGGTGATGTGTTCCCGTGTGGGGGACACGTGGAGAACGTGAGGGAAGCGCGTGAGCTTTCCCGTCAAGGGAGTTGCCTGCCCGACATATGTGCCTTGTTGAGGCTTGTGCCCGATAGAGGGGGGTTGGGCCTCATCAGCATAGTGTTAAGGCAGGTCCCGGTCCAGTCTAGAACAGGAGCCCTCCAAGTCGTTGCTCCGAGGTGGAAGTGTGACGACTTAAGGATAAGCCAAGGTCGATGACAAGTTGGAAAGGCTGAAAGATGGGGTTGAGAGTCGTACTCATTGTAACATCATGTCGGGGAGGTGAAAGGTGATCGGGCGTGCTGGCTTTTTGAGCTTGGGGGAAAGAGAAGGGACGCGGTCTGTCACAGTTGCCACGTGTCAGGCGTCCATTTCCCCTCCTAGGGCGGCTAGTTATAGGGTGCTTGAGTTCCTAGGGGAATTTCGAGTTCTGTGCTAGGCTTATAAATAGGCCGAGGCCTTCCCCTTTGTCACTTTTTGCTCCCAACTCTAATGAACATAATTGTTTCCTTCTCCCCCACTATCCACATTGTCGTGCAATCGCCACCGCCGCGCCGTCCACCACGAAGTCAACCGCGTCTCTACCCAAACTACCGTACCAAGTAAGTTCGTTCGTCCTTTTCATTTTGTTTCTTTCTTTTTCGGCAACTCCTACGGCGGACACGATGGGTGTCCCGAGGAGGCTGCGGGTTTTCCGGCGACTACGGCGAGATTCCCTTGGCCAAGGGTGGGTCTAGAATTATGCTTCTGGGGACGCATAGTAGTTCTAGATGGACTCTCCAAGGATATGTGGTAGGGCTGGATGAGTTCCCCGAGGACATATGATAGGTCTAGATGAATACCCCGGGGATATATGATAGATCTAGATGAATGCCTCGGGGATATATGATAGGTCTAGATGAATGCTCCGGGGACATATGATAGTAAATAACACGGGGTAGTGGATGTCGGGGTTGGAGGAGTCTAGGTCGTATATGTCGCCCCCTTCGCCCTTTCACTTGAGCTATAGTGGAAGAGTGAATTTGATCTCGAATTCACCATTTTCCTTTACTTTTCAGGTGAATATGGTTGCGTGGATATCTGGAGTTATAGAAGTTGACCAGGATTCGGAGTCTCCGGTGGCCCCGCCCGTCGAGGGGCAGAGTCGGACATTCGAAGACTGGGCTGGGGAAGAGCCCTTGAGTATGGCTTCCAGTTTTGTCGAGGATGACTCCGACGCGTTTTCCAAGGTCAAGGATCGCTGGAGGGTTTTGTTTACTGTGAATTTTGGTAAACAACCGTTGGTCTAACAATTTAGGGTAAAATTGACTAACTTGCAGGATTGACCATACTAAATCCTAAAACATGTGTTAAGTATGTAACAAAAAGACCCTAAGTTGAACTCCACATTCGACTGTGAAATCTTTTGGAAAGTGTGATGACTTAAAGATCGAAGACAATAAGTAAAGAAAGCATGTAATGCGTCGAAGGTAAAGGCAAGAATGTAAAGTGCAATAATGTAAAGGCTTTGAAAAGTAAAGTCGAAAGTAAACGCAAGAATGTAAATGACTTTTTAAAGTAAATGACTTTGAATATAATTGCGGTAATGTAAAGGGCAAAATGTTTACAATCAAACTCCACGTTCGACTATAAGCTCTTTGTAAAATAAATGACTTTTGAAGATAAATGTGCAAGAAAGTAAATTGCTTTGGAAATAACTCTAATCTGAACTCCACGTTCGACTAGGGGATATTTAAAATAAAGGTGCAGAAATGTTAAAGGACTTTGAAAATAAATCTAATCTGAACTCCATGTTCGACTAGGGAATATTTAAAGGTAAAAGTGTAGAAAAGCTTGTAAACAACAATTTAAATGTAAAAGTCGAAGATTAAAAATGACAAGTAAATGGCAAAGACAAGTAAATTGCATTGATAAAAAAGGATTTGGTGTTGTATCACGTACATTCTCGCTAACTCGTTTCTCTACACGCGGGTACTTTGAGTTGTATGGAGTGATTAGTACAGAAATGAATGAACACCCTTATTACATAAAATTAACACCTATTTATAGTGCTACATAATAACTACTATGTGACGGTTGAGGCTTTACAACATGTTCCTTTTTGGCGCTTTTTCACTATCTCAACCGCTCCCACGTTTTTCCTTGCTTGGTTTGAATTGAACACTTAATGATTCCCT